TCACTTTTTAAAATTCTTTTTTCTTTTTTCTCCTCTGATTGGATAATTCAACTGTCCTGTCTTCGAGTTTACTGATCCTTTCTTCTGCTTGATCTAGTCTTCTAGATCTAGTCTTCTATTGAACTCCTCTATTTAAATTTTCAATTCAGTTATCATATATTTCAGTTCTGTGATTTCTGTTTTGGTACTTTTAAATATTTTCTATCTCTTCATCAAAATTCTCACTTTGTTCATGTATTACTCTCCTGACCTAAGTGAGCAACTTTACAACTATTATTTTGAACTCTCTATCAGGTAAATTGCTTATCTCTGTTTCATTAAGATATATTTTTGTAGATTTATCTTGTTCTTTTATTTGGGATATATTTCTTTTTTTCCTTCATTTTCCTCAACTCTCTGTGTTGGTTTCTATACATCAGATAAAAACGCCACCTCTCCCCATATCGACAGAGTGGTCCTGTGTAGGAGATGAACTTTGTCTATCAGTCCAGCCAAATCTCCTGATTACCTCTCAAATCTTTGATTGTCCAAGCTTATTCTTAGTACCTCCCCATACCTGAGGGTGTACCAAGACCCATTAGCATCCCAAAGGAAAGATTACATTCAACACCTAGACGCAGGCTGATTGGAAATCACATCCTCTGACAGCAACTGAGAAAGTATATAGTTAAGCTCCTTCCAAGGAAGAAGAAATTGGGAGACAGTTGATTTTGTCTGTTTTCTCTGTGCTGGGTCCAAGTGTATAGCTGCAGAGGGGTTCTCCTGCACCTGTTAAGAACTGCTTCTTTGCTATAGTACTATGGGACTTGTGAATTCAAACCCCATTGGCTATGAGAGCCAGGCAATCCAGAGGCTCATCCCTCAGGCAGCAGCCACAAGATTTGAGGTGCCAGATATGTGTACAAGCTCTTTCCAGGGAGATACTTGTGACTTTGGAGTGGGATGGAGGGAAAAGTGTCCAGCATCTTCCACAGAAACTGGAGAGGACCATAGCCAGCTCCCAGATGCATGCTATATTAGAAGCCTGACCCGTAGCCTCATGAGCTGCTTCTTTTTCCGGTAGTGGATCTTGGCCTTCTCCTTTCTCTTCTCCTCCAGTGTAGCCGTTACTGCCTGGTACTTCCAGCCAACCTCATGAGCCAGGCACCCTAGGTAGGCAAACTTCCGTGTAGCCTTCAGACGCACAACCTTGAGGGCGGCAGGAACCACCATCCACTTTTTCTTGTCATAGGGTGGCGGGATCCCATCAAACACTTTGAGGCAGTCCAGAGCGGCCTGACCTCGCTTGGTCTTGTGGGGCAGCATGCCTCGTACTGTCCGCCAGAAGATGCGGCTGGGGGCTCGGAAGTGGTAGGGGCCACGGGAGGGGTTGGTGTTCATCCGCCTGCAGAGGAATGCCAGGTACTTCAACTTGTTTCTATAGAAATTGCCAGAAATGTTGATGCCCTCACAGCGCACAACCACCACCTTTCGACCCAGTAGCACCTGCTTAGCCACGATGGCCGCCAGGCGGCCCAGGAGATGGCCTCGGCCATCGAGAACCAGGACCTGCCCCTCCACCATCTTCGGCAGCCGCCTGGGAAAAGTATTCAGATAGAACTTTCTCAGGGAAAGACTAGAAGCAATTTTGCCTGCTTCCTCTCTGTTGAACCCTGGGGAGGCAGCCATGATGTGTGCCTGCACCTGCTAACAACTCTTTCTTTGCTATAGTTTTGTGGGTCTTGCAGATGCAAACCTTGTTGGCTTTCAGAGCTAGGTGTTTTGGGAGCCTGTCATTCAAGTTGGAGTCTTAAAAGTTGGGGCCCTAAATATGGGGTCCAAACTTTAATTCCTCAGGTAGAAGTTTGGAATTGGGCATTTCCTCCCAATTGTATGACACTGTGTTGAGCATGGGGCTTATGACAAACATGTCTCACTCTGCTTTCCTACCTGTTTTGCTATGGGTATTTTCTTATTCACCCAATATGTAGGAGTCACACAGCTTGCTTCTGGATTTCTTTCAGAGGTAGTTGCTCTCTGTGTAGTAGCAGAACATTCATTGTGTCCATGGGAGAAGTGGGATTAGGAGCCTCCTTTGTCATCATCTCGGCTGACCCCTCTTTCCCTCAGTCTTCTTTTAAAGTAGTTTTACTTATATCTCATTTTATTGACATTATCTGTTTGTACTCAACCTCCCTAATTGGACTCTAAATAACATGAAGGCAAGGAGTGTACCTTCATAATTTCCAGTCTGCATTACCAAATTAGCACAGAATACATAGTCAATAAATGAACAAAGACATAAACCAAATGGAATCAGGAAGCCTAGTAATTATGTAGGTAAATAGGTCCCTTCCTTCTGAACCTTCAGGCATGATATCTGGAAAACAGTTTGAGCAACACAAATTTGGAATGAGTGAATTAGAGCCATGGTTGCCAAGAAAGCCTTTTATGATTGGAAGGGAACCACCAAACAATTTATGTAGGCTCAAGGAGTCACTCTGAGAAATAGTTCTGTTTCTTCTTCCATTTTATAAGAAAAATAGTAGGAAATAAAGATGAAGAGGAACTTTGAAATAAAACCTTATAAAGCAAAAAGCGATGCCCCTCCCATCTTTTAACTATTGTTCACAAGTCACTTAAAAGTCCTAAGAAGGTAAATTAATATCTTCTCTTCTCACAGGTTATGAACAGGGAAGTAAGACTGGTCTAGAGCCACCTATCAACAGACCCTGAAGCCCAGGTTCTGGAGCAGTCCACATTCCCCACAGTGCTTCTGGCCTTAAGCAAAAATTCACCTTGATATGAGGCTCAGACAATAAATAAAATAACCTATGAGGAACTGGAGCTGGAGTTTATATATATTTTTAAAATCTTTATCTTCACTTAAATTTTATTCAATGCAAGTAATTTATTTCTTTACTATTCACGTGTCTATTTTAAAATATGGCTAAGGAGTAGGATTGTGTGGTCGACATTTCCTCTGTCTGTGGTCTGCATGTGAAGAATCTTGACTGGTTAGTCATTGTTGAGAGTTTTGCTAGACTACTCGATAATATTGCTGCCCCAGCATCCATTTTGTGTGGCCAAGCAGCCTGCAGGGGGCTTGAACGGACTGGCCCCCGTCCTGTGAGTGCATGCCCTAGATAACACCATTACAGTCATAAGTAAATGTAAGATCCTGATATGACTACCCCAGCCACCTTTGGATAATTACTCTCCCCTGCCTGCCAAGGCCTTCTCCTTGCACACCCCTTAAATAAGATGCCCCACAAAGCTCACCAAAATCCCACTCTTTTTGGTTTGAATTAACCAATCTGGACTTAGCCAGGGAACACCAACGTATTCCACCTGTAGACCCTAATAAAGGCATATGCCCCAGGTCCTGCCATGCTCTCTCTGCCTGTACCCTGCCTTGACCTCCTCTCATGGCCCCATGAGGCATGCAGTGCACCTCCTCCAGGACCTGTGAGTAATAAACTTCTCTATTTCAATTCCTTTTCTTGAACTATGGCTCAGCAACCAGATACCCAGGGCTCTACTTAACAAATGCTCACTTAACAAAGTCACAATAGTCACACAAATACCATTTTTCCCCTGAGGGCAAAGTCCCTAAAGAAAATAACCAGTCCCTAAAGGGGCTGAAAATCCAATCACTTAGAATAACTGTAAACTTCATGGTAACACTATAGATTTTTGTTTTCATTATTTCCTGCAAATAGTTATTATCTACTATGTGCCAGTTATTATCTACTGTGTAGAGACACACAGAGTATCTGCACTGGATATAGTAGCAGACAAGACAGAAACATCCCTGCTCTTGTAGGATTATAGTCTTAAGGGGGAGATGGTCAACAACCAAGTAAACAAGTAAAATGAAATAAAATAGTGATACCTGACACAAAGAAATAAAAACAGGGCATAGTCTAGACAGAGGCAACAATTACAAAGTCTCTGAGATAGAAGGCGGCTTGAGGTTCTTAAGGGCTGGGGACAAGGGAGTAAAAGAGAAGATGTAATAGGCAAACATACAGTGAACTTTCCATTATATCCACAAAGTCACCTTCCCAATCGTCTTGAATAACTGAACTTAACACATTAGGCTCAAACATGCTATTATTTTAACACTTTTTATTTTCTTTTTAGAAATTTTCATATTTTTTAGACTTACAGTATGTAGACATTATAATTTAAATTCTTCTTGAAGCCAAAGGAACAGAGTTATAATTGCTTGTTGCACTGTGGTATATGGCTTGAGAGTCCAAAGTGTTTAGCTGGACTATGTACCAGCTGCAGAACATATCTGAAGCTTGTATTCTTAAATAAATTTGCATCAGTGACTTGGTTTCCAAAAAATAAATATCTTTTCTTTTTAAGAGTAGAAAATGGTTTCACAACCTCTTAGAAATTGAGAAGTAGCCTTTCTGAAAAATAACTAATTGGCTTAATTACTGAATCAGGCTTCTCCTAAATGACTTTGCTCTAAATAAAATAATCTTTGCTTTTTTTTTTAGGTATAATTTGCCATTAAAAATTTTTTAGCATCAGTAACTGCTTCCATTACCTAGTCAGCCTCAATTCAGGTTTTAGAGCCCTTCCTTTAACTTAACAGGGCTACAGTATCATTTTGTGAAGGTTGGAGGAAAGGGCTTGATAAAACAGCAAGAACACTTTATATGAAGTCAGATATTTGCTCACATATTTATTCATTCATTGATTTATAAATATTATTAGAAATCTTACTATGTGCCAGGCTCTGAGGTAGATAGAGTAATGGCTGAAATAGACATGCTCTGTCTTCATGGAGCTTTTAGTCCATTTCCAGCTCCCTCACATTCTTCTGGCTGGGTAATTCTGAACAAGTCATATCACCTCTAAAAGCCTCATGAGTAAAATAAGCAATATGTAAGAAGGGTTGTGAGGAATATAGATAATAGCGTAGGCTTAGCACAATGTCTGGCATATGGTGGTTACTTAGTAGATTTCAATAAGGACATCCTACCCAGAGGCCTCATGTTTTCAGATAGTTTTCAGATAGTTCATTAGAGGAAAATATTTCAGTTCTAAAGAACAAATGAGGTAGTTTCAATTCATTGATTATTTTATTACTGTTTCATTTGTTACACTTATTGGATAGTGGTATTAATATGTTAGTTTGAGCTAATAGCTCTCCAGTTTGTTAATGTCTATCAGTAAATGATAACTTTAATTCCATAAGGTTTCCACTCACAAATGTACACTTCCCAGAACAGGACTAGCCTTGCTTACTATTTTTAATCAATAACAAGAATCCAAGACGACACAAGTTCTTTAGAATCCTAATTAATGGCTTTGGTGATAAATGTTTACTATCACAGATACTTGCTTCAGTTTCCACCAAATCTACACAATAAAGATGTACACAGTAATTTTTCTTCCTGAGGATAGAAAAAAATTGAATATTTCCTTCAAAATGTTACTTTAATCCATTCTACCAAAACATAACATAATGATACATTTTCAATAGCTCTTTACAAATTAAAGCTCTTTACAAAGGTCATATAAATACAGAGTCATTATTAAAGTAGAAGCTTAACACAAAGCAAGGGGAAAAATATATTTCCTCTAAGGTAACTTGGTTTCATATTATTTCCAAAATAACAACAATTCCCCACAAATGTCACTTGGGAAATGCCCATGAGCACCAATATCAGAGGAGGTTATGGCTTTGCCCACAGAGGGACGTAAGTTTACACAGAGGAAGGAGGTTGAAAGATGGGGCCAAAAGCCAACTGGCCTCCTAAGGTTCATGTGGAAAGACATCTCCAACTTTGTTTTTGTCAATTGCACAGGGAGGTGTATTTTTGGATAAAAGCAGGATTCCAGCTGTCTAGCCCAGTTCTATGAATCAAGGGGAGATTTACATGCATTGTCTCTGTGGCCTGACTCCCCAGATTTGATGTGGACCCCTCTGAGGCACTGACAGGTAGAGCTTATCTATTCTGCTGGTGTATACTTCAGTTTTCCCTGTTTTAAATCTGTCCTTTACGAGATGAGGTCAGAGATACAATTCCCTGGCATACTAAATCAGTTATCAGTTTAGTGAGAAAAATCAAATTATTTGTCTGTCTGGTAGACCAACTGTTCAGCTGAATTAACCAGCAGCTGGCAAGAGACAACAGCCCTTATCAATAAGCCAAATGTTGGCTGACTTGATTGGTTAATTTATTGACCACTGAATTCAGCTAAGAGAATGGCTCCTTTTCAGAGAGCACCTGAGTCATTTCATGTCTTTCCTTGATTTTTGTTAATGGAAGATATAAAACCTCTGATTATTTACTGAGTATTTGTGTTTTTACTTTGCTTTGTGATAAGTCTCTTCTCTTTCCCACAAGCTTGCTTTATGTGTGTGTCCTGAGGGAATGGAATGTGTCCCAATTAGGAAAAACATTCAAGTTTGGAAGGGATGTTAAAAATCATCAAATCCAAATAACTCTCCAGTGCTTTAGTCTCTTTGTCTTTATAATTTGTCCTCTCAATATCTCCAATGAAGGGAAGAGATGCTTTTCTTTTAGCATAAGATCTCATCTACTTATAGATAGCACTAAATGGGCTGGCATACTTGGGAGGAAGGAGGGAGTGGAAGAGAAAGAGATGAAGAAGAGAGGAGGGGTGGAATGCGCTACAATTTATTGAGCCCTTATTCTGGACCCAGCTCTGTGCAGACATGAATCACAGACATATCATGTGATTTGGGGTTGTGGCTCTAGAGTCCAGCAGTGTTCATGAGCAGAGTTAATACAGGAGCGTGTTAGCAGAGTCCACATCTCTACCTTTTTTAATAATATCCTTTTGTGATTTCCTCGCTTCTGTGAGGGAGATAGAGGGAGAGATAGTAGTTGTATATTAGGGTCAGAGGTGGGGGATTAGTATCATCAACCTCTCTGCTGCCCTTAAAAGCTTCATCTTCTCAGACCTAGAGGCAGCAGAGTTGCTCTTCCCTTAAAGGTTATAAAATGGTTTCGCTCACATATATTCGTGGTTGAGCAGGAATTTGAATCTAGGCCAGTTTAATTTTAGAGGCTGTGCTCTTAACCAGGCTCCACTGCCTTTCTAGTCAGTTATCTCATACCTTTCACCTGCTTTCTATTCTCTATCATGCCTTCCTGTACTGCATCAAGATAGGGCAGCAGCCCTATAATTGCCTGGTAGAGGGAAAGTAGTAATTTCCCATGCACATATCCAAACAATGTTAGATTTATTTTTAAGGTAATAAAGAAAGGACATAAAAGTAGTAGTGTGAAAGCAAGTACAGGAGACAGGTAGAGAAGGATGTCAGAGTTTGTAACCCTTTATGGAATTGTTCCTTCACCAACTGACAAAGCAAGTCTCACCTTCCCTGAAGTTAAAACTTGGATGAGAGGCTTCCTTGTGGAACCGTTCCCCTTCCCACTTCTGTGAGATAATGCAAACTAGCCATGTACCCAAGTCCCGTGAGAGGCAGTGTTCATGGTTAGGAGTGAGGCATCCAGAGCAAGTCTGAATCTCACCTCTTCCACTTTCTAGCTGATGACCATGGTTAAGTTATTCAGCCTCTCTGTGACTCCATCTGGAAAGTAAAGATAATAAGAGTACTCACTACATAGGGTTGTTGTGACGATTAAGTGGGTTACGTATTTTCAGCACTTAGGACCGTACCTGGGATCAAGTCCTATCATCATCATTAGCAGCAACAAGCAGTAACATCCTGGAGTTTGGCTGTATTCTGTCAGACCGAAGCCTTCTCTCTGAGATCTCAGGTTGTTATTTGCACTCTGCAGGGGATTGAGAGAAGTTCTCTCTTTGTGCCTTCTCCATGCTCCACTGAATGGGCTCAGTCTGAATCGTCAGTTGCTGGACATCTTCTGGGCACCAGGAATTTTGGTCAGCACAGATTCCAGGTTAGTTCTGTGAGCCCCTTTGAAAAGCTGGAACCAGATCTCCACAAAATGGTACCTAGGACACTGGGTCAATTTTAAAATGGGATTAATGTATTGAAGGCTTTTATATGATAAGAGATAGCAGGACGAGCTTAACTACTCACACAATTACATGCTCACACACTGCAGGATGTGGCAAAAGAAATGGCCACATTTCTCTGCTGCTTCCTTCTCACAGCAATCACGATGGTCCTACTGTCTAGACTAACCTTCTGTGAACCCAATGAAATTGATCACTTCTTTTGTGACTTCACCCCTCTGGTCCATCTCTCCTGCATGGACACTTCACTGACCGAGACCATGGCCTATGCCACCTCTTCTGCAGTGACTCTGATCCCATTTCCTCTCATCACAACCTCCTACTCCTTCATTCTTGCTGCTGTCCTAAGAATTCCATCTGGCACAGGCTGGCAAAAGGCCTTCTCCACCTGCTCCTCTCACCTCACCATGATCATGGTGTTCTATGGGACACTGATTGCCACATACCTCATGCCCTCAGCCAACTCTTCCCAACTCTTGCACAAAGGATTTTCTCTACTTTATACCATCCTAGCACCCATGTTCAACCCCATCATCTATAGCCGAGAAACAGAGACATCCATGAAGCCCTGAAGAAGTGTTTGAGTAAGAAGCCAGGTTTCCTTAGATGATGCAAAAAGGAAAAAAACTATATTTGTTCAATGGTTCATAAACTGGATTGAGTAATTTAGAGTCAACATAAAAGGCAATTACCTAAACTATTAGCTACCAAAGACTGATGACCAGATGCCTATGAGTATGGCTGTGGACACTGCTGAATTCTGACAGTGAATTGGTGTCCCAGGAATGGTCTAAGCAGGTCAGATTCTGCTCCATTCTGCTCCAGGATCCTTGTGTAGAAGCTCATCTCCAAAATGAACTGGTAATGCTGGCCACTCATTTGCTCTAATACTCATTGAGGGTCTACTATGTCCAAGGCATTGTACAAAATATAAGTGAAAAATAAACAAAAACAGAGGAAGTCCCTGCTCTCACTAAATTCACAGTCATGGGGGAAGACAAACGTTAATCAAATAACTAGTGTAAAACTACACATATAAAATTACACTTGTGATCCAAAATTAAAAATAATAAGATGACTACTACACACCTATTAGAATGGCCAAAGTCCAGAATACTGACAACACCAAATGCTGGTGAGGATACGGAGCAACAGAAACTCATTCATTGCTAGTGGGAATGCAAAACAGTACAAATGCTTTGGAAGACATTTTGGGCATTTCTTACAAAATTGAACATACTTTTACCATATGTTTGAGCAATCACACCCCTTAGTATTTACCCAAATGAGTTGAGAACGTATGTTCACACAAAAAACTGCACCTATTTATAGCAATTGTATTTATAATTGCCAAAACTTGGAAGCAACCAAGATGCCCTTCAGCTGATGAATGGAAAAATAAAATGTGATACACAGACAATGGGATGTTTTTCAACATTAAAAAGAAATGAGCTATCAAGCCATAAAAATACATGGAGGAAACTTACATGCATATTACTAAGTGAAAGAAGTCAATCTGAAAATGATATATAGTGTTTTATCCCAATTATATGATGTTCTGGAAAAGGCAAAACTTTGGAGTCAGTAAAAAGATCAGTGGTTGCCAGTCTTGCACTCAAGACTTAGAAGTGGGAAACAAAGATTTGGGGAAATGAGGGCTAGGCAGAGGACCCATGATGAATCTATGATGCTCTATCTCCCCTGCTATTATGGTAGCAGGCTCAGTTGGAAGCTGGGACATCGTATTTATTGAGTTCCACTTCTTCCTGCCAGGCCCTCTACCAGGCTCTTGCCTGCACTTGCTCCCTCTCCTACTGGCACATGTTCTTAGTAAGTTAGAGCATAGGGTGTGGTGGGCATGTGTTTTTTGCTCTTTGCAACTCTAAAGAGCTGAGTTGACTTCTGAGTAGAAAAGCTGAGGTCAGCATTGCACACTCAGATGCTGCCTGACTTCTTTTCTGGCTCCTACAAATTATGAGCCCCTAGTGCTGAGGTTAGGATTATCTCTTGCCTAAACTTTCTTCTGAAACATTCTTCTTTTTTTTAGTTAAGCAAAGAGATTATGTTCACCATGCGTGGGGGTTACTCAGAACCTTGGATTGGAAACAGCACATACGAGACTATGCTGGGTATCTGAAAACATTCTTAGACCTTGCTTTATGAAGAGAGAATTGCCCTCTTCTTGCTCCTCTTGTAAACTAGGAAAATATTGTGTGATCATCTTAGGGTACTCCCAGTAAAAGTAAAACTTGTCAGCTTTCATTTATCCACGGGTGGCTCATTGGGAGCCAGGGTTAATGTCAGACTAGCTCTGCAGGAAATTGGATAGGAGAGCAGGCTTTTGTGTCATGGGAAAGTTTTTAATTTTAGCTCTGCCACTTTCTTGTAATATGCTTTGGGAAAGTTACCTAAACTCACCGATTTTAGTCTTTCTCATCTGTAAAGGAGGACATGCCATGCCCATCTCACACTGTCCCTAAGTGAGAACATGCACTGTCTGTCTGGCCCATAGCAAGTGTTCAGTAAATGGTAGCTCTTGTACCTCTTCTTCTAGGTTCCACCTTCTGTACCAAATCCCAGCTAAAACTATATGTAGTCAAATTTCATTTTGACATTACAAAGTAATAAATATTCAGAATGTTTAAGGCCCAGAGAGAATGTATGGATTATACAACATCTTCTTTACAAGAAGTGATCCCCTAAGGGATTAAGTGGACTTTCCCCAGGTAACACAGACTAGAATCCAGAAATGCTATATATGAGTCCTGTCCTCTCTCCCCTATACCACACCACCTACCAACTCAGTAAGTTTTCTCCTTGCCTAGGGACACATAAGGAACATTCCTGTATATGCCTGCATCACTGTTTGGTTATACTTGGCTAGGAGAGAGTGTAGTGTATCACAGCACATGCCAGAGCCATGGAACTCTCCCTCCAGCCCCAAGTCTTACATTCCATCTCCTACAAGCCTGCAGCTCCACTCAGGTAACAAAGCCTCAGAATGTTTGTGGCCAGCACAATTGCCATCAACTGGGAGAAACTTCTCCACTACTCCTTCTGCAGAAAGCCACAGCTCTCAACCTCTCAAATGGGGAAGGGGACATGTTGCGGTTAGAACTGGCTTCCTATTTCCACTGAGACATGGTAATGAAACATGAAGCCTGGGGAGTCTCTTCCAAGTTAGTGAGGGCTGCAGTAATGGAGCAGCCACAGCCCTGCTCCCACAACTGAAAATAAGCCCCAATACTGCCAAAGAACCCAGGAGTCTCATCTCACCCAAACCAGTGGTTTTCTGACCTTAGAGTTGGGCAAATGTGCTTGAGAAGCCACCAAAGGTGAGGAAGAGGTTGAGCAGTCTCTGAGCCCCATCCCTGCACTCATTGAGCAATTCTGTTTTGATGTATCTTATTTATTCCATTTAAAACTTCATTTGAATAAAGACTTTTGCTGCTAAATATGTGTACACACACACACACACACAAACACACACATTTTTATTTTTTACTAGACCTTTCCTTCCATTATAGCTTCCCTTATTTTCCCTGCTGAAAACATACAAAAACATGAAGGTCATGTTTGGATTAGTTTATGTCCCATAAAGTCAAGGACAGTTGGTGTACCCTGACTAAGAGGACAAGACAGAGAAAGTATTTAGAGAAGACCACAGCTTCTAGGATGATGATTTCTGCAGGAAATTTTGTATGTCAGTTACCTGCACTGTATTTTTTAAGCCTCTGAATCTCTGTAACTGACTTCTACCAGGTTGAAGCAACACTTGTCAGTGACTTTCCCAGGTTTATCAGGGATGCCTGTCCTTGGGGGACACTGGACACCTCCAGGTAGCATGACCACACCCTGACATATTTGTGCCTTTAGGCTCAGGAGTGGGTTGGTCTGCAAAAGAAGCCTTTTGTCACTCACAGACTTAGATTCCTTCTGAGGAGAAGTGAAAGGAAGGTTACACGATGACCTGTAAATTTCTGATTCTTGTCCCAGGGCTGTGCAGGCCTTTACTGGTAGGTGAGAGGGATATAGATGTACAACCAACTAGATGGAGTCAGAAGAGAAGGTCATAGCCACTCCTGCCATCATAAGGAGTAGCTGTGTTTCCACAGAGACCTGCCACCCTGCTCTCTCTGATCTCAGGCAGGAGGGCAAGAAAGCCCACATACAATCTTGGTGGTTTCTCACTGGTCCACACCTGCTCAAGCTCAAAGAATTTGGGACCTTAGTAAGAGAGAGTCACAAATTTCAGGCAGAAATCAAGAGTCTTCAGCACAAGGGGTCCACTCCTTGTGCATGCTCCTGGGGTCTGACCACACCCCTAACCACTGAAAGAGTATAGGGTTGTGGTATCTGCTTAGTTCTTTCTTAGCTGAGGGACCTGAGGCAAGTCTCTTCAGCACTTTAGGTTTTAGGCTCTGAATCTGAAAAATTGGGAAGATTGGCTAAATGTTTTCTAAGGAATATGCTGAGGATAACAAGTAACATTCATATCATACTTTAAATTTTATAAAGCTCTTTCACACAGTTTCTCATTTGGTCCTCATTTAGCTATAAAGTAGAAACGATCCCCACAGCACAGATGAAGAAACTAAGATTCAAAGATGTTAAATGACTTCCTTAAAGTATCTCTCTGAATGCCTTTTGGTTTCCAACCCTCTGTTATTTCGTTTACAGTGTACTCCTAGCTCTGAGTTCCGTAATTCAGTTCTTCTCTTCTGGGTATGTGCTATAAACTGAAAGTGTTCCCCAAATTTATATGTTGAAACCTAATCCTCAATGTGATGGTATTAGTAGGTGGGGCCTTTGGGAAATAATTAGGTCATAAGGGTGGAGCACTCATGAATGGAATCAGTGCCCTTATAAAAGAGACCCCAGAGCTCTCCATCTCTCCTCTGTGCCTTGTGAGGACACAGCAAGAAAACGACCTTCTATCAACCAGGAAGCAAGCTGTCACCAGACACCAAACCTGCTGGCACCT